TGCTGTCGCGTCCCTACGTGCGATACTCGTGGGCGTGTCGTCGAGTTCCAGGCGGGCCATCGCGTAGATGAAAGCGATGTTGTACACGAACCATAGATCGGTGTAGACTTCGAATAGATTACGGCATCGAAGCATGACCGAAGCACGTTTTTTGCGCTCGATTCGTTCGCGAATACGTAGGCGGGACATGGTAGCCTCGCCCACACACTCAACAGTGGGAGCGCTGCAGAGGGCTCTGTCAAGAGACAGCTGTTCCCGCAGTAGGGCAGCAGGCAGCCAAGGAAGGAGGGGGACTGTCAGGCCTTTTGTCCCTCGGCCAATCACTTTCGCCCCAGTGTGCAGACCTTAAATCGGAAAGTATTCGCCTGCAGGAAGTTTCCCGGAAACTTTCTTATGTAGAAATCTGTTTCCTTATTTCGGAAAATTTTGAGGCCCGGTCCGAAACTGTGTAATGTGCACATAAATATATCTATGCCGACCGTGCCTGCGTGCGACATCAGATAGCACAACGCTATTAGTGACCAGACTCACTGTTACTGTAGGTGCCGTGTTACTGTCTCTACTCCCTCCTCCTTACTTTTTGTTCTTTGGGAATCAGGAAAGTTACTTACGCTGCTGTGTGAGGGTCCCGACTCAACAGGCACACACCACCAGCAGAAAAGCAATTTCAGTTCAAACCTAGCTGACGCCATTCAAGAGGACTCCACCGAGAGAGACTAAAGTGCGTATTGCAGCACAATTCAACGTGTTGTATAACCACCACATCAGCAGCTAACATTATTAGTGCTCGGTGTTGCGGCACCGTGGCAGGGCATAATAATAAGCACGACGCCTGTATGTGAACGCAAGTTTTCAACTTCATCCGTGCCTACCTCTCGACCCTCTGCATTAATCGACTTGAATTATCATGCAATAATATGCTCTTTGATGCTCAGTTCGTCTTGCTTCAAATTTTCGTGGTGATCTCGTGGTGGGCGCGTTCTCGTGCTTGGTCTCTGCCGCGGGTGCACAGCACGCTGGTTACGCCGGGTATAGATAGACTAAACGAGTGGCAGATTTTTTCGGGTAGAGGGCTGCGAGTTGCGCCGCCAAGTTTGAAACCTACAGCAATGGAGGGAATTGGCGAAACTTGGTTCCCTAGATAGCTGCTGGAATAGTCTACTGCTGTGAGCCTTTAGCCTTGGGTGGATGTACACACCTGTCACGATGCTCTTCTGTGTAAACCGATAGTTTTTGTTCCTCCGCCGTTTTTTTTTTTTTTTCATTCAGTCTTGCAGCACGGTTGTAATCAACAACATTCGATCCGCATTATTTACCATTCATTTACTGTTACATGCAGGTGCGTTGTTCGATGATGATGGTAAAGGCGGCCGGGATACGATCGGCCTGTGCGTTTGGGGGGGGAGATAGCCAGAGCGAACAAGAGGGGAACAGAGGTTGTTGTCGGTTAATAGGTGGACTACAGCTCTAACTGGTCCGTAGAGGGCGAATCCCGGTGACCAACAAAAATCAGAAATACTGTAGATTGGTGCTACATGTATGCATCTACACGAAGTGTAAAGTTTGTTTGTACTCGGACAAACGTCGTGACAAACTTCAACGACGATTGTCCATTGATGAATACTAACTATTTACCCCTCTGCTACGTCACGGACGCCAGAATACCCAAATGCTCCTGTCCTAGACTACAGTATATATATATGTGTACTGCTGTAGTCTAGTGCTCTTCGTGTCAACCGCCATAATACCGAGATTCACAATATACCGACAGCCGTTTGGCCGAAACGGAACATTGCCTTTCCGAGGCATTCCGAAAGGCATTCCAATGTGTCTCTTCTTTTTTTTTTCCTGTTTCCTCTAGACTACCTGCACTGTATTCTAGTTATCTACTCTTCTTAGCCCTTTTCATGTGCGAATGGATGGCACTTGATGCACAGCAGGGAGTAACTGAAAATCAGGCTCAGCCTGGTTTTCTTATTCAGCGGGTAAATCATCTGCTCACCATACACCCATCGACCAATCAATGTTAGGCAACAACATGATCAACGCAAGCAACTTCGTTCACTGAGCTTGCGGTAGGTCATACGTGTTTACTTACAGAACTTCATTGGACCCTGGTCGTGTTCAATTCTCAGGCCCTATCGACAGGTAGGTGCTGCAACTCGACGAATGGTTTCCAAACTAGAGACCGCCTTCAACAACCTCGAGGTGGCTGTGAATATAGAAAAGACGAAGCTAGGGCGAGGGATAGGGACGCAACCCCAGACTCTGAAACAAGGCATGATGTTTCGATCAGCCGACAGCTAGGGAAGGCCATGAGCGCGATCGACCGACGGTTGGGAGTGCACACAAAATTGTCCGCCCCTAAGTAGAGAGAATATGATGTTCAGTATTGCTTCCTGGAAGCGAAGGATTGCTATAAATTTTCTCGTTCAGCGTCACTAGGCATCGGAGTGTATCCACTGGTTGGGTTGACGGCGGCCCAACGCCTGCCGGCGAAAACCCGACACGCCGTGCTCTGTCAGGGAGTACTTTCCTTCGTCCCTGTCCCCCGCAACGGGTGAATCTTTTCTAGGCGTCTTCGTCTCGTCATCCCGATCGTCATCAGTAGAGTTGTCGCCGTAGTCTCCAGGGCGATTGGAAGGCTTTGCTCGTCTCGAGGGAGCTGTTCTCGGGGGGGCTACCCTGCTCCAAAGGCAACACCGGCAGACAAAACCATTCCGTTTTTGAGGGAACGGCTTGGTCGTCATTATTGGGATGGCACCATAGTTGTTGTCGTGATGGGAAACAAGCAAGAAGGTGTAGCCCACCGGTAAACCCGAACAAGACCCAACACATCGACATCGGTAATACCTCTCCACAGACGAACTCCTAAAGAGCAGCAGCACTTGGAGCGAACCGTCGAAGTCCCCCGAAGGGTGAAAAACTAACATGCGGCGACTACCGTATGCCTTTCGTCTTTCAACGTAGCTGGACCGGGACCTTCACGCCGCTAACTGGAAAGCAACCATGCGATGCATTGGCCTCAGATACAACTATACACGCCTCTCTGACCGGTCCCCAACAACCTACAACAAGGCCACCCAATTACGAATAGCAACACAACGGGCACAAAGCAATGGTAATTCTTGTTGAATCATACTCTGTATTTTCCGTTGCTCTTACCCGGGAGGAGGTACGCCGCGTCCCCGGCGAAATCTCCGCAGCAGTTCTGCCGGGGGATGCCCTGCCGGCGAAGGGTACGCTTTCGCAACAATCCCCCGTGCGCCTCCGCTGCTATCTCGCTTGCAGTCGCCTAGACACTCACTCTCCACTTGCGCCCCCTCGTCAGCTTCTTTCGCCGCGGTCTCCAACGCTAGGACGGCGGCGGCGGCCCGCCTGCGTTGTTTCTCTACCTCGAGGTTCAACTTGTTTCCCCCGTGGTCCTCGAAATCTAATGCAACCGGTGTGGAACTCCCTGAGTACGTCAGTGTTGCCTCGGTACATCGGGGTCGCTAGTGAACATGTGTGGACAACGACCGGGAAGGGAATTTCGTGCAAAGGACGGGTTAGCAGAGGCTTCGTCCCGGTGGATTCGTTACACTACGGCTAAAGTAAACGAGAGTACCAAGTTGCCCGCCTTGCGCGAAAACACACAGCATTCGAAACCTAGTGGTGCAAGTGATCAGTGCCCGGGTTCTCACGTCTGGTGTTATTCCGCCATCGTTCCACTCCAGATCCGCTGCACTCCTAGTCGTTGGTTTCGGAAGGCCTTCCGAACCAGTTTTCCGCTCGCAATCTGAAGTGCTCGGGGATTCAGCTAACTTGTGTGTCAGGAACTCTTTCGGCGGAGGGACACCGCCACTGAAACCCACGGCCTCCGTGTCACGCCGAGAAATGTGTCGGTGAAGTCGAGACGTTACCGACTGCCCCTGGTGAGGACCCTCCCAATCTCCGATTTCGAGGCGCGGGACTGCTAGGTCAATGTCCGCTTCCTCGTCGACCTCTTCCTTTTCTTCGTCCTGGTTACTCTTTCTAGGCACGCTCGCAGGTGAAGGGTTGTCGTCGGGTGGCCGCGGCTGTACGTTGTGTGCAACGACTGGGTTTTCGCGTTCGTCAAGCTCAATGGTTTCCACGTTTTCGTTGTCGGACGAGTAGAAGGCTCTCGATTTCTTCGTCATCTCGTCATCCCGTGGCTCGGGTGGCCGTACGACGACTTTGTCGGAACTGTTGGTGCCGACTTTCTCCTCAACACTTGTGGGAGTCAGGCCCTCGTCTAGACGACCCGCGTATTGTCCACACGGTTCTAAGTCTCGTTCGTCTGGGACGTCTTCATGACCATTTTCGTCGCTGGCACTCGCCGGGAGGCCCGTGAAACATGGCTTTGACCTAGCACCCGCGTCGCGGTCGTCTTTTGTGTGACCACCACTCTTGCAGTTCCTCGTGGGACTGGCAGACGTATGGCTGCTTTCTTCCTCGTCATGACTGTTCGCCTTTGCGACACTCTCGCCTACCCTTCCCCTCGAACGTTGTCCTTGTCGCTCCTCATTTCTGCGCCGGGTACTTCCCTTGTCGCAGGTGTTTCCACGGTGGACAAGCCTGCCACTTGAGCGTACCAATCTTCTGTCTTCATACTCCCCACGACGCCGATGGCATGGGCCCTTCGAGCCACGTTCATTACCACCCCTTCGGCCGCATTCGTCGTCGCCTCGATGGCGTTGTTTACTCACCACGTTGCGTGAGTCTCTACGTGGTGTGCTCCACAATGCGTGGGGCTCTTCGGGCACTTGATGATCTCCAGCGCTCTGGCCGCGGTGTCTCCCGTTGCGACCTCTTTTTGTTTCGTGTCCACGAGCTGTTTGGAAAGACTCTGACTGTGAATCGCTCTCGTTGGTCGAGGGACTACTTTCTATGCCGTCCACGCTGTGGTTTTCTTGCGGGCCGATCACTGCCTTGTAACGATCTTTCGCAAATGACTTGTCTACTACAGCTGGCGTAGAAAGCGAGGTGCCGGTTGGGCTGGTCATCCGAAGGTCATTCTCCATCCTCCGGACCGATGCGTTGCCTGCTGCGTCATCGGGGCAACGCGGCCAAGCGGGCACAACATGCTTCACGACTCAGAGGGGTTCGTCAACGGTTTAAGTCATGCCACGGTGGATGGGTTGGGGGGGTGTAGGCCACCATTCCTCAAAGGTTTTACGTGTGAATCTGTCTAGCATACCACACAACCTTCATGTATACATACAAACAAGACAGTGATATTACGCGCCAAGAGATTTGTACGGTTACAATCGCAACCGTTGCACGGCAATAGAAACAGCAGGGGTAGGCGCCACACTCGCATCAGCAGTGCTGCAACTGTGCAGAACACAGAAAAAGTAGTTCTCACGTCCGAGCATCGCGAATGCGTGTGGGCACAGCTTGACCAGCCCCGTCACCCACAGGTTGTGCTGCGCCCTTGTCTGTGCATACAGATGAAGCGTACGTGCCGCGGATGTAACAATTATGGTATCCTGGTCTTCCGCTATCTCGGTTACGTCCTTCAGGTAGATCCAGCCACGGATCTCAGGAACGTTGAACTTCTTGTAGTAGCAAAGTGCCAGCTCTTCGCTTCCCTGTGCGCATGAGCCGGCAGGCCGGCACGACCGGGAGGATACCGTTTGAAATTCGTTACGGATGTGTCCGTGGATTTGGTACTGTTCGGCATCAATTGGACGGTTCTGCTAGAACTCAAATGAGCTGAATGTATGCATAGTATCCAGCAGGGTTCTCTCAACCCTCACCGGAAATACCTCCATCCATTTTCTCTTCGAAAAATGTGACAATGTTTTCTCGAAATGCCGTGGAGATCGATCCCCTTCACAATCTCAACAGAACGAAGTCGCCATTCTTTTCGACCTTTTGTGCAGCTGTCTACCTTGTAAGTAAGTACCCCGAGACGTCCATGACCACAGAGCAGGGGGAACACTGGAAAACATGCAGATTTGACGCTCATACTTGATTAGCTCACCTCGATGCTCTGGATTTTGAAGTATCGCTTGTTGATATCCCCTGTCAGGCCGTGGAGCCGACTGAGCTTGGACTTCTCCTTCATCAGGTACCCCTGTAGCTTCAATGCATCCTCCATCCCTCCCCCTATTAATCTCGAGTCTAGATGCAATGTTTATGCGCCGGGCTTACATACTCTCCGCGGCCAGTAATGAACGATGATTTCGGGCAATGTTACCGATCTGTTGCCTAGATACGGCTCGTTGGTGTCGTTTCAGAGGAATTGGAACCTTTCGGGGGGTTCGTGACGTGTGGGTAATCTTAGGGTACAGGGTGCGAGATGGCCACGCACACATCTCAAGCCACCCTGCACTGCGGCTGAGCCCTTCGTTAGAAACATGGCTGCTCGTCCACTGGTGCTTATTGCGGGCCTCAAGCCTTCGGTATCTCATCGATGTCCCCTGCCATTGCTGGGGAGACTCGGTGCCACAAGGAGCAGCAATCGAGAGAGCGGAGCAGATGATCGACACGCGAGAGCACAGGCACTCGTTTCACAGGCTCGAGATATTCACGTCAGTCGGCGCAACGAGTCTACTGTACTGATTGCCGGTGCTGGAATCGCTGTGTCCGCCATGGTCGCCCGCTACGGTCTCATAAAGTATCAAAAATACCAGGTCAGCATTCTCATGAATAGCAGTCAGGCACTACAATAGCGCGTGGTTTTCATTTCGGTCTCAGGATGAACACTACTGCCAAACTACCCTGCTGTACACTGCTATCGTCTTGGCAACTGTCAACTACTCAGCCCTCTCGAGGTCCCAATTGATGATGCACCCACGGCCGTGAGTGAAAACTAGCTGCGTGGTGCTATTAACTCGGGATGCCCACTGAATGAATGCACATTCTTCCGGTATTTTACATTGTAAGTCCTCAGGCCGCGGCACTCACGCCACATTGCTACTCGTGTGACGGGTCTTGGCTTCACTTTTACCACACACCGACCCCACGACTATATTCTTCGAAAGAGATTCCATCCAAGCACCTGTTTCCTTCTTGGTAGCAAGACCGATAAGGTCAAAGTCTAGGTGTTCCTTTCCTATCGTTGTGTGGAAGAATGGACTTGGGAAGCGCGTGGAATGGCTTGCTGTAACAGTGTCCGTGAGCCTACAGCAGGAAAGGTTGCCTTCATCGCCATCGTCCGAGTCGAGGAAGGCATTGTTATTGGCATGGTGATGCTGCTGGCGACGATGCTGCGGCTCTTGCTGTTGCTGTCGTTGCTGGTGCTGACCCGCAGCAAAGACCTGGCGGTCGCGGTGACTACGCATCGCGCAACGCAACCGGGGCGCTGTTATTCAAAATAACGGAGAGATGTTGACCAAGAAAGAAAAACGGCGCACACGGGAGGAGAATTGGAAGAACGTGCTGTCGGGAATCAGTGGAGAACGTTTAGATATATCGCGTGGTCCTGGAAACTAGTACCCACCGAAGGGTGGAATCAACAGAGCCCTACGGCAGCGCATGAAATGGCGAAATGGCTCGAGATTACGCCGAAGTGCTATCATGCTCTGAGGGAATGAATAGAGCGCCACGAAAATCCTTCGCGTAAGAAAGCGAGAACGCACCCAACCGGCCGCGGCATCGGAAACGAAAGGGTAACCCTGCTACATCCCAGGCAGATTCCACAAACTTATGTCGCAACATCCATTGCGGGGTATAAATGAAGGGTGGCGCACGGCGTGTAGGCACGAGTGCTCCCTCACGTTTGGTACCTACCGCCTGCTGATAATGTTTATTCAGAATGAACACATGGCAGGTGACTAAATGGCCTCGTCAAAGTCCAGAACATCCAGACACCGGCTCAACTGTGTGCCACGTTGGATCGGTACCAGGAGGTGACTAGCACACTGCTCCTGAATGAAGGAGTAGGTTGGAGAGAAAGAATGGCGAACTGAGCTACAGCAATACGTGCAACAATACACACAAGCGGCGAACCCGAGTGACAGTAGGGCTCTGTGGATATTTGTATTGCTTGACCCTTTTCATCCTCTCGCGCGCAGAAGAACGAGAGCAACGGAAAAGGGAGAGTGAGAGAGAGCGGGAAGACAGAGACAACGACGATGGGTTGTCTTCCAAACACACGAAAAACCCTGCCGTTGAAAAATTCTCCCATTGTACTTGCGAAACAGCAGCGTCAGACCAGCACCCATATCCACCATAAAGTTATCCATTGTTCGCCTAGGGTGTGTTGTGTTTTCGGTCTCTCTCGCCCCCCCCAATAAAGTTGTGGAGAATAGATGCACATTACACGGCGGAAATTTTCATGATGCGCAGCTGATACACTTGGCGCAAAGATCGCCACAGCGCGAAGTGATTGCAAAATCAATACCTGTGTGGTTTTCGGAGACAGCCTCCACCAGCAATACCTTTTTGCCGGCGCTTGCATCTTTCACACAATTTACGAAAGCGCTCTGATAACATCCCAGTTTGTTTTCTGCTCTTGTTCACTTCCGCACGGTGGCCCTCACATGTTTCTTTGCGCGGTTTTGCCTTCGGAACTCTAGTGGGACAACATGAACCCCGTGCAACGTTGAGGGGCCTTTGGAATATTGCCCTGTGTGCCTTTGCTGCCCTACTGGTGCCGTGGAGACTACATGAAGCCTTGCTTGTTTCTGAACGCGACCTTTCCCCGCCCACGTAATCCCGCACAGGCTGCTCATCCCGAAGCCACGAAAGAAGCAGACTCGGCGGCAGCAGGCGACCAAACCGCAGATGGCGAGACAGGCAAAGCTTCGCGGGAAGGTGCCGCTAAAGGCGCAGGAGCAAGCGCCGGCGGGCTTTTCGGAGCGTTCGGGAAACGTTTCTACGATGGGGGGTTCGAGGAGAAGATGACTAGAAAAGAAGCAGCCCTCATTTTGGGAGTACGTGAAAGCGCAACTGCACAAAGGATAAAGGTGCGTGTTTGTAAAACATGCACAACTTCGAGCCTTTTCCAGCCCGCTGTCTAGCACTTTCGCCGATGCAGATCGTTTGGGTTCCAGTGCGTTGGCAGAGGAGCCCACTTGAGCCGTGGTAGACCCGGATACTGTCAAACCTTGTCCTTGTCACGGACGAAGCAACAGCAGCTAACGCTGTCCTTGGAACTCAAATGTTTCGACATGGCGTAAAATCCGAGCGTTTTGACAACCTGTATCCCGTGATTTTCGCCGTTTCTCGCTGGCACTTTGTTTTTAACGTCAGGACTCCCACCGAAGAATTTTGATGATCAATCACCCCGACAAGGGAGGGTCCAAGTACATGGCGGCCAAGATTAACGAAGCCAAGGAAGTTCTCCTCAAAGGAAGAAAATAGGTTTCCGGCGGTGGTGGCTGTGACACAGAAGAGTGGGGCTTGTATTCTTGTTTATGTTTTCATTCGGTTGCCTTGTGGGTTGTGTGTCAGTTGCGGACTGCCGTTGGTGTTGAAGTCCGTGGTGTTGTAACAACTATTGGCAGAAGAACTACATGGTCCCTGCTCTGCTTTGAATTGCGGCAAGAGATATCGCTGCGAATTGTGTACACACGTTTGCGTGTCCGCTGCTGACAGGGTGGCAATGGGGCCTCTCATGGAGTGCTGGTGCTGGACAATTGGGTCATGTGGCATGTCCATTTCCAAAACAAGTTCACGACAGCTGTTTATCGTGAATCATGCTCGATGCACGAGATACTCCACTGGAGTGCCTCAGGACTGACTACTGCTTGCTTGTAAGCAACACCCTGCCCCCGGGCCCGTGTGACCCTGACATACATGGCCATAATGACGGCCATAACCTTGAATCGGAGAAAAGACACGAACTGGACAAATACCTGAACCGCGCTGGTTTCATGCTCTCGACTACTTTTACAACTCTGATGCAGCAAAGAAGACCTACAGCACCACCAAATATGTAGACTTATGTTCTTCAGTTGTGAGGCGAAGGCGTGGGACCTGCCTCCTCCGGCACCGTAGAAATACACTCCCACGCACCCTCAAGGTTCTGCTTCCAGAGCGACACATCGCTGTCACCCGACGACACGGCGAGAACGTTTCCGGTGATAGACCAAGAAACACGCCACACCGGCGCCGGGAAGGTCTTGATTTCAGCCGCTGCCCAGGGTCCCGAGGCTTGCGACTGCGTCCAGATGACCACAGTTCTATCCTCCGAACAGCTGGCGACGATATTGCACGGCATGCCCGTCGCGGGCGCCCAGGCCACGTCTCGTACCCAGTCCGAGTGCCGGGGGGAGGAGTCATGGGAGCTCCCCTCTTCTTTCCACTCCGTCTCCCCTACCGCGCATCTGCATATTTTTGGTCGGGTGCAAAAAGTGTTTTAGTTTTTGTTCAGAGAGGTGTGACTACCTTCAAGCGGCGAGAACAACCGAATCGCGATGAGTTTCTTTGCTAAGGTTTTCGGGTTTACGGATCCCCGCAGTTCTCTATGTAGTGCCTTACGCAACCAAATAACATCTCGATCAGATGTCGGGCAGAAGAATGATACAACTTATGAGTGATCTTCGTCTTCGGTCCGAGAGAGGGGCACGCGGCAAATGGCGCAAATATGTGTTTGGGATAGCTAATCTGCTGCAATCTGGGAACCCTTTGAGAGAGGAAAAAGTCGTCACATGACTACAGGCCACCAAGCACATTATCGCACAAGCACTAGAAAACATTTAAGAGCCACTTTCGCTCTACGTGATCGTGGGAAATTTTTCGCTTCCAACCCACGATTTGGCTTACCTCCAAAACCTGACCCGGTTGTCGCAGCTGCCGGTGACTAGCCGCATGTACATTTTCTCGCCCTCCCTCGATCCCAAGCTGTTAAAAGGAGCCCAGCTCACAGAGTTACAGCCAAGCTTGGAATCTTGGATGAATGTCGTATGCCACTCGTCGTTCGGCTGGTGCTGAAGAATGCTCACGCGGCCGTCGCTCGAAGCGCACGCGAGCATCAAGCCTAGCTCATGGGGCGCCCATGCAATGCTGTACAGCAGCAAGCACGGGATAGCGCAGGGCGTACAGTAGGAGTTACGGGTGTGGATTTCATTTTTTAAAATGCCACTTGAACGCTTTTGGGGGCCAACTCGCTCAATGCGCACTGCAATCTGCCAAACATACGCAATGACCATGGCGCAACACTGGGCGAATCGGTCGCTGGGGAGTACGCATTTGATCTGGAGACTCGGTGTGAAATACGATGGATGTGGGACGGGCCACGGGGCAACCAACACCAACCGCTACTGCGTGACCTGCGTCATGTCCTGCGTCATGTTACTGCTTCAGAACCGCAACCACCACTCGCATGTAGTATTTTGGGATCGAGCACAACGCGCTACAGAGGCCCTAATATAAGTACCCGCTACCAGGACGTCTTAAGGTCCGGCACGCGAATTATGTTCCAGAGAGTGGGATACGTTTCGAATACTGAGAGAAATCCACCGTTCGCAATCAAAGTTAGTTATCCGCACCTGTTTACACTGGAAGTATGGACTTCGTGCTTGTGTACAGGGCTCCAGGTTCCCGGCGGCGTCTCCCGGTGGATGATAACGGATTTGTCGTAGGAGCAGGAAGCCAGGAGCACACCAAACTTCGGGTGTGCCCATCCGACTTGCCAAACCGGACCGTCGTGCCCGGAGAGAGAGTCGAGTTGGTTGTGGTGGCTGTCCCCGACAACCTCGAAGATGTTGATCTTGCAGTCACTTGACGCGGTGGCGAGCTTCTTGCCATAGTAGTCCAGCTGCGCGTCGTGGATATTCCCGCTGTGATGTGTGTCTATCGTTTGGAGGGCGGTCGTAGCCATGCTGCGGTTGCCCCGTGTCTATTCTCCGCACCTGAGATGTGGATGTTCACACGAGAGACTGCTGGCAGCACCCTCGAACACACCCAAGCGTATACCTCAACCACTGGACACGGCAGACTAAGGTGCCAGGTGTTTGTAAAGACGGAACAGTTTCCAATAACAGCAGTTGCACGTGCGCTAGCAAGGCAGCCGGTCGTTGTTGTCCCGTTCGTGTCTTCCGTCGGTTCACTACTCCGTGCTGTGCTCACAGGTGCTCAGCAGGTGGTCTGGACGCGAGTGATCGAGGTGTGCACGACGAAGTATCCACGGAGCCCCCTTGTGTCTCGCGTTCGCCGCGTGTGTGCGTCGTGTGTGTATAGCTCAGTTCGCGATTCTTTCTCTCTAACCTACTCCTTCGCTCAGGGGCAGAGGTGCTAGCCACCTCCTGGTGTCATTCCAACGTCGTGCCTACACAGGTGAGCCGATGTCTGGATGTTTTGGATTGTGTCGAGGTTATTTCATCATCGGCCATGAAAAACAACCCAAAAAACAAGGTCAGCACATCGGGAGCGAGGGGGAGTTTACCACACGAATTAGGGAGCACTCGTGCCTTCACGCCGCACTGCCCACCCCTCACATATCTCTTGCAACGCATGTTGCAAGTTGTGCTTGAAACATCCCGGGATCACTGCTGAGCTGGCTCTTCGTTTCCGAAACCGCGGCCGGGTGAGGGCGCGTTCGCTTCCCAAAACGGCCCTCGCGTGGCGCTCCGTTGACGTCCTCTAGAAACGGCGTTCTCATTGAAAGACTCTGGCGTACTCTGTCAGCCGGAGCAATTCGTTCTGTTTCGCCGAGAGTGTTGCTGGTTCCCTCCTTCGCTGCCTTGCACCACCGAGACCATCCGCTAGTTTAAACGTTCTCGACCTGATTCCCGACCGCTGCACGTTATTCCCGTTCTCCTCCCGTGTGCGCCATTCTTCTCTCTTGGCTTAACATTTTCTCGCTGTTCTTCTGAATACTATTAATAATACAACCCGGCTGTGTTGTGATGGGCGACGCGTATTCTAGTCACCGCGGCCGGAAGGCGTTGCTCGGGTCAGCACCAGCACCAGAACCAGCAACAGCCACAGCATCATCAGCATGCCCAACAACAATGCCTTCAACGACTCGGACGATGGCGATGACGCCGTGTGCCCCCTCTGCTGCGAGCCCATGGACCTCTCGGACAAGAACTTCGTCCCGTGTCCGTGCGGGTACCGGGTTTGCATGTGGTGCTGGCATCGCATCAAGGAGAACTACACCGGCCTCTGCCCCGCGTGCCGCTCTGAGTACGCTGACGACCCCCACGCCTTCGCCGCGGTGGACAAGGAAGAGGTCATCAAGAATGAAAACAACAAGAAAAAGCGGGCCAAGCAGAGAGACACCGACTCGACCGGCGCGGCGGCGGCGGCCGCGGCGGCTCGGGAGCACCAGCACGCCCTGCACCTCAGACACCACCACCAACACCAGCAACATATGCAACACTTGCATCGAGAACAGGTACAGCAGCAGGGAGGGGGCAGGGGCGGGGGGGGGGGGGGGGGCGCGACCTCGGTGGCAAACAGGCGTGAGCTGGCCAACATGCGCGTCGTGCAGCGCAACCTGGTGTATGCGACCGGGTTGCCGGCCGGCCTTGACTCCGAGGAGGTGCTGCGAAGACCGGAAAACTTTGGGCAGTATGGCAAGATCTACAAGGTGAGGCTTGGCGGTTCTTGTTGAACTGTTATCGGGGGCGACCTACCCATGAGTGCCATGCCTTCCTTCTTGATCAACAGGACCCTCTTAGCCTGGTGGGTGTTGCATGTTTCTGTGTTCTATATTCATGTGTACGGCATTCTAATTACATGCCACATATTTGCGGTATGCACAACTAGTGCTCGGGGCCGAGATCGCTTGTCGATGTCTCACCCTATGGTGGGGTGATGATGAGGTTGCGGTACTTTTCTACGGGTGTGTGATTTTGATGATTGGAAAGACCTGCCGCTGGATGTGCGGTCGTTGCGCGTAAACGTTAGGCTGCTCCTTCCTGCGAAATGTGGTAACATTGGTCCCCACGGCGCCCCCCCCCCCCCCCCCCCCCCCCCCCCCCCCCCCCCCCCCCC